AGTTCCCATTGCTCCATCCCAGTTCCTGCCAATCTTGCAGTTCGAAAGCATGCAAGTGCAAGTAGATAAAAAGGTACCACTTCAGTGGGAAGGTAAACAGCATTCTGTGCACTTCGGTGTGTAGTCATGCTGGCCACATGACCACGGAGACTGCCTGCGGACAAACGCTGGCTCCCTCGGCTAGGAAACGGAGATGAGCAGCCCCCCGCCCCCTAGAGTCAGGCATGACTGGACTTAACGTCAAGGGAAACCTTTACCTTTATATTGAAAATTAAATTTTAAATTTTAAAAAGACATCAATTACTTCAGGAGGCTGTGGGTTCTCCCACGCTGGAGGCATTTAAGATGCAACTGGACATCTATCTGAGAGGTAAAACTTGGAGTCCCGCACTGACCATGGGGTTGGACCTGATGGCCCTTTGGCCCCTTCCAACTCTACTATTTATGATTTTATGATTCTGTGTAGGTTTACAGCGTCAGCATTCTGATGCTCAGGGGCAATATGGAAATTTAGACATCTGTTCCTTCTGGGAGCTTTGCAAAACTGTGCCAGAAAAGCCCGGACAGGAATGAGTGAAAACACACAGGCATGCTTTCATTGTGCAAACTGAAGCATTAGCTATGGCTGGAACAGTTTAAGAACAGTACTCAAGCTCAAAGTGGCAGTGTGCTTTATAGCGTAACAACAGAGGCACAAAACAAACAAGCAAAAACCCTAGCTCAAAGTGTCTACAGGAAGATTAGGTACTGAATCATAGTTTCAAGACTATGAGAAAAGTTCTTCTGTGAAATAAGTTCTTTAAAACTGTCAGGCAAGATTCACCAGAGAAGTTTGGTTAAACAGTATCTAAAGTGCTAGGTCAGGTGGCAGCAACTTCCTCCTAAAAGTTGATTCTTTTGAAGTGAAAAAGAAGAGAAAGTGGAAGTTGTGAGCACAGAACTTGCTGCTATGGCACCAGCCTCCCTTGTGACTCACGCAGTAGACAACTGTGCTTGTGATATGGCTCGACAAGCACCTAGTTTGCAGCCACAGATCAGCAAAGCTGGCAGGTTCACTGGGCCCTTGGTAGGCCAACACAGAGGACTCTTCCTGGGCCTTTCAAAAGGGAACATTTGGGAGAGCACAGTGGTATGCAATTGCAATTCAAATACTCGTCCCTAGGTTGGATCCAACACACAAGAGTCTGCTTGTGCCACAAGCCTTCTGCTCAAATGGCAGGGACTCTCCGTCTACGTCTCCCTTTGCATTATGCCCCAAGTCCACTTTAAAGGGTCCCCAACCCTTCAGAGCAGATCTGGGGGACATTCGGGTGGGAGAAGGAAACTGTTCTACCAACAGTTCCCTCCTGCTTGTGGAATGACAAGCCCTTATGTGTATGAATAAGCTTTCTTGCTTAGAAATGCATTTCAGGGGACTTAGAGGCCTACACCAAGTGAAACAAATTCCCAAGAACTGGGAGTTTGGTAGTGCTTTTGCAAAAGGCTGTTATGTTAAAGCTACACATACTGGGGAACAGCCTAGCTGCCGTGCTGTGCGGATACTTCCCAATATCAGTGTTAAGAATATCATGCTAGATATTTCCTCGCATCTCAAAACGCATCTCAAAGCATTGACAAGTTCATGGGATTTGTCAGGAACTGAGTTCCTGAGTTCTGGAAGGGTTCTGCTTCTCTTTGATGCACTGATGAGCACTTCAGGCCATGTTTCTGGCAGCAGGTGAGGATAAAGGAAGGCTTGATCATGGTCTTCCTTTTCACATTCTCATCAGTCACTTCTCACATAAACTAATGGCATACATACAACGTTGGCATGGCTTGAATTTTTGTACTCTACCTTTTTTTGGAGTAGGGGGAAAAGCTACTTTTCTCCTCTGGAATGATACATTTTGTTTCTGGCTGCACATTTTTCTTAAAAAATCCTGGACTTGTAGGCTGCTTCCAGCCAGCTGGGTCACAAGTAGTCCAGGCTTTCTTCCTTGGCCTTCTCTCTTAGAGTGACCCTTTGGAAAACAAGTGGCTAGCTGGGACTCTAGGCTCCCCCATAACACTCTTCCATCTATCTTCCTCTCTGCCTTTCACTTCCTTGGTTCACTTCTGAAAAACTCCATTCCTTTCCCTCGTAGGTGTTTAGCACTTGGTGTTCTAGCATATTGCAGGAAGAAAATTATTTCTCTCTCTCTCTCCTCCCACTGCCTAGCTAAGAAAGCCTTTGGGATTATAATTTTATGGCCATGATCATGCAAGAAGCTGCAGGTCTCAGCTATTCTAGAAATCCCTTTGGTGCGCTTCCTGTTATCTTTAAAGGCTTTGTTGAAGCAAACCAGAGCACCCACAGACTAATATTATTTAAATGAACACATCTATTTGAGGGAATGCAAGCTGCACATTGCATTCAGTTGTACTTCTTTTCCTCTTAAAGAAAAACTGCTCACATCAGCAGTAGAAGAAAGAAAGGCTGCTTAAATCTTTTGCTTCCTGCCTTTTGCCCACATAAAATCCCTTCCAAATCACTCCCAAAATCTACTTTGTGCCCACAAGTCTTGATTTTTGGAAGATGGGAAAGTATCTTGAGACATGATTTTAAGTGGAGAAACAACAGAAAGGGAAGCTACTGTCCGGCTTATCATTTAAAAAAAACACCAGAAAAGAAAAACCCATGGAATGTGGAATGTGTAGTTTGTTTTCAACTGCAAAAGACATTATCTTATTTTGAGTGCTAACAGGCCTAGATTTACTGTACTATTGTGTAAATGTAAATGAAAATATAGCTAAAAATCAGAAGACTGAGATGTGGACAAGCAGCAATGAAGGAACTAGAAAAGACCATCATTTGTAAGGATTTTTCATTGAAGACTAAGATCAGCCACTATGTATGGGTGTAAAAGCTGGGAACATGGTGCTGGAGGAGAAAAGGCAAACAAGGGAAGACAAACAAGGGGGTCCAGAAGAAAATCAAGCCAGAACTTTCCCTAGAAGTCAAAATGACAAAACTGAAGCTGCTGTCCTTTGGACTTCATAAGAAGGCAAGATTCACTGGAGAAGACAATCATGCCAGGGAAAGTTGGAGGCAGTAAAAGAAGAGAACACCAAGATGGCTTCGTTATACAAAGGATGGCCACAGCTTGAATTTACAAGAACTGAGCCAAGGACAGGACATTGCAAAGGGCATTGTTGCACAGGTTCATCATAAGTCAGACACAACTTGACAACATGTTAAGCACAGAAACAATAAGGTAAATGATATTTTTTCTGCAGGGTAGAATTAAATACCAATTGCTATGCAGCCAATCTCATATTTGAATGGGTATGCCATTTTTAGTGGGATCAAAAAGGGTTGTAAGCTCTTGAAACCATCATAAGAAGTTATATCTGAATAAAAATGATCACAAGCCAATGTAGAGTTGGCTTCAATATGTTTAAGCACATTTAAGCTTGTGCCAGCATCTTCATAAATTAAAGTTTTTGCAATTGCACATTCTTTGGAATATTATATATGCTTTTCTTAATAATGCAGATTAGATCTAGGAACACCTGTTCATGGGCAATTCAGCCTTTTCACACCCACTCACAATTAGTTAACCGATTCCAATCTTTCCTTTCCCTGCTTCACTTCAGGTGCAATCCTGTAGCCAACTGACATTGTTTAGGATGCTGTAGGGTTCTTTGGAGCCTCAGCCCCAAGATCCTGTGGCTTTGGAACAGGGACTCTGAAGGCCAAGCCCCCACTTCATCTCCCTTGCAGCCAGTGTGGAAAGAACTGCACTGGCTGTCCACACACCCAGAGGTTGCAAATTGGCCATGGAAAGTTCAAGAAGTGATGTGCTGGGAGGTCAGAGACAGGGGAAGGCTAAGGCAAATTCTATCAGTGTCTCAGCTTCTTTCTCTCCTCCCTAGTGCTTCCTCTAGATGGATAAAATGCAGAGCGCAAGGTGTGGTGAGATGCTCATAAACCTTCAAGTTCAGCGCTTTCTGTGCATCTGCTGTGGGGTTGTTGGATTGCACCCATAATCATCTTTCAAACTCCAAATTTATAAGGAAAAGAATAGTCACCATCACCTGAGATGTCAACCTTTCTTGACATCTCAGAGGACCCACCTAAAAGCAATTAGGATCTCATTATTATACATTTGGCTGGACTAATGTAATAGCCCTTTGGCTGCAGTCAGAATTCAAACAAGCCCTTCTTGTTCTGCATCTAAGAGCATGAGGCACAGTTAAGATATAAATACTGTGTTCTCACTGTGTCAAAATGTCAGGACCTGGTAACTCTTTGAACAGCTTTGCTTCTTTTCCTCATGGCTAACTCCAACTGGATCTTTATTCCTCCAGCCTGCTGTACTGAATTGAGTAGACCATGCAGTGAATTACCTTCTGTAGCTGGTTTTGCAAGTTTTTCTAGCGAAAAAATGATCTACCTCTAAATAAGTGAAGAAATGTGGTATGATTTAAAATATTTTGACATGACCTGGGGCTGGATTGTCCATGTTTGGAAAGGAAAGAAATGGTTTTTTATATACACAAGCATCCACAGTCCTGTTGCTTTGGACCACATCTCCCAGCACACCTAACCATTGGCCATGATGGCTGGAGCTGATAGGAACAGAATTGCAAACCATCTGGAAGGAACCCAGCTGGGGAAAGCTCTTATCCTTCATCTTCCCTCCAAAATGCCAGCCATCTTTAAAATGTAGGTGATAGCATATGCAATCTGAGCTTCAGGGCACCATATAGAAATTTGACATTACCTTTAAAAATAGAATGTTCTCATCTGGAGAAACGCTATTTACACCGCATGAAGCAATATTACAAATGTGTCCCAAAAGCAAGGAGAAGTTGCAGAACAGGGAGACACTTTGGACATCCAGCTTCTGCTTGGCTAAAATGTAGATTGGCCACCAGAATGTACAGTGAAGTTTTCCATTCCTGCCTTTCAGAATACATCAGTTTTCTTTACTTGCAGGCGTCATAATCAATGTGGTCTTCATGGTCACATGTGGTCTCTAAATATATTCTGGCTTGGACAGGACTTGCATTTCCTGCCCTTCTGTTCTTTCTCTGAAAGTCCCCAAATGTCCTGATTTTCTTTGCCTAGAGAAAAAAAAATATTGACATGACATGAACCCACAGCATAAGGTCAGTGGGCGCTAGTTCTCTCTCACACACATGCACGCACCCACGCACACATGGCCACCTGTGTCCATCACACTTATGCACAAGTACCTATTTCCTGGGAAGATTTTAAGGCCAAAGACAAGGTCCGCAGCTTGGGAGTGCTCCTCGATCCAGAGCTTTCACTGGAAGCTCAAGTAACAGCGGTGGCAAGGAGCACTTTCTTTCAGCTTTGGCTGATTCACCAGCTGCGTCCCTACCTGGAGAACGACTGCCTGGCGACAGTGACTTTCGCATTGGTAACTTCCCGACTAGACTTCTGTAACGCGCTCTATGTGGGGCTGCCCTTGAAGACAGTCCGGATACTTTAATTGGTGCAAAACAGAGCTACCAGGTTGCTGATGGGGACTGGGCGTTGTGCTCACGTAACTCCAGTCCTCCGTCAGCTTCACTGGCTCCCCATTGAAGTCCAGGCCCAATTCAAGGTGTTGGTTATCACCTATAAAGCCCTTAATGGCTTGGGACCTGGTTACCTAAAGGAGCGCTTACGTCCATACGTACCCTCCCGCCCCTTGAGATCGGCGGCAGAGGCCCTTCTCTGGGAGCCCTCCGTGAAGGACATTAGGAGGGTGAGTACCCAGAGGAGGGCTTTCTCTGCTGTGGCACCCCATCTATGGAACGCTCTCCCCAGAGAGGTCCACCTGGCCCCGTCGTTATTTGCTTTTCTGCGCCAGGCCAAGAACTTTTTATTTAAACGTCATTTTAATTGTTAATATTATTTATTGATTTTATTTCTTTGGCCAGGACGTCTCCAATTATATTGTTTAATTGTGTATTTATTGTTGTGTGTTTATTGTTATAAGCCGCCCCGAGGCTTTGGCGAATGGGGCGACATAGAAGCTTGCTAAATAACTAAATAAATAAATAAATAAAATCCTGCACCCATTTGCCAGGGAATAACCCCCACTGAACTCAGTGAGTAGACATGTACAGGGCTTCACTGTGAAAATTATAACCTGGCTCTTTTAAGTCCCAGGCCAACACTCCAACCACTGCATACCACTCTCGGGGCTGTATCCAGTGTTGGCTCCTAGCAATGAAGGTGGCTTAAGTTAGACTAATATTGGATATGACCAATTGATCTTCTCTGACTGATCTGGGTGAACTGATCAGCCAGGAGCTTATTATGTGTGTGTGGGTGTGTGTACATGCATGTGCATGTATATGGTATATACTAAGAAGTTCAGTTATTATAGAAATAGTGTTTCCAGAAAATGAAGTATGAAATGCATGCCTCATTTGCACAAACAGCAAATGAGAGACTGAAAGCCCGTACTTGGACTGCCCTACTTTAGGCTGTAGGTGAAGAGGGGCTCACATTGAATGCTGTTTGCTAAACTAAACTAAATGAACTAAAGCCCCCTGCCTCCCCCTCTTCCAAATTCTAAGGAACAGCTCATCCTTCATTCTGTGTGCTTTCTCTCCCCAGCCTGCCTGTGCCCTGTGCTCTCCTTTATTGCAGATACGCAACAGAGCACCTGGCGTACTCACCTGGTCAGCAGCAAGTGAAACCGGACTCTTATTTAGTGGGCTTTTCCTCATCTAAATGTCAGGGTGGGGGGAGAGTGGGGGTGCAAATGACTGTACCTGAAAGCAAGGCAAAGGCTTTCACTGAAGATGCAGTATATGATGGGGTTGATGGCGCTGTTTAAAGCTGGCAGGTTCTGAATAATCACTGCTGCATAGAAGCGTTCTTTGGTGTCGGGCAGGATGTTGAAGTTGTCCAGGATATCAAAGAGAAAGTAAGGACTCCAGCAAAGCACAAATGCTGCAAGAAATTGAAGAAGGCTTTTGAAGGATCTTCCGCTTTAATGGGATAAGTAACCCTGGGAGACCTGGTCAAAATTGGCTTGCCAGCTCTTGCCGGTACACTCTTTCTCTCAGTCAAAGAGGAATCCCTATTAAACTCTGAATAAGTCTGATGTAACATTCACAGCTCAATCCTAGATAGGGTGAGATGCCCAAATCTGCTGATTTCAATGGGCTTTTACACGCATAAAAATCCTGCTCTTAATGCACCATTTTGATTAATTTCTATTTTTATAGCTGAAGCTTTCTGGGCAGTTACATGGCAAACAATCTCTGCAAATATACAGTGATATTTTTATTTATTTTATTTATTTATTTATTAAAACATTTTTATGCCGCCCCATTCGCCGAAGCCTCGGGGCGGCTTACAACAAAAAAAATTTAAAATAACATTTTAAAATATATACAATAAAATACAAATATACACTATAAAACAAGCCGCCCTGGCCAAATAAAATTCAATAATATTAACATTTATTAAATGTTAAATATTAACATTTAAAATTTTATTGAAGGACACCATTTATTTCCCACCTGTCACATTGCTTCTTTTAATGGTCTGCAAAGCTTAAATACTGAAAGGACTTTGTTTTTTAAGCCAAGTTCCTCCAAAGCATTGCTACATCTGTTTATGGGGTTTGCTGTAAAGAACTAACTAAGCTTCTCTTCTTGCATAATCCTTCCATGGCGTATCCCCTGAGGTGCTCTGGCAGCAGATCTGTGCATCCCATCTGCAAAGAGACTCTTCAAGAAGAAAATGTACGGTGCACAACTCCTTTAATATCAGTTTACCAATCCAGCTGGACTAATCCAGGAAAACGAAACATTTAACAGCAGAAAAATAATCACATTAAACACAAATGTGTATCCAATTAAATTATCATCAAATGCCAGGGAGGATGTTCTAATGTGTCCTCTGGGTGCAAAAAGCTGTTCTAATCAGATCACGATAATTTCCAAACCCTAACCCAGGGATTCTTCAGTTTTGCCCTTGGTAGCCCCTACAATAAATGATAATTAAGGAAAAAGAGCTTGGCCAGCAGGTGTCATTACTTCTCTAGACTGGGGAATAGGCAAAAAAAGGAACAAAAGGATGATGAAAGCTCATAAGGACTTCAAGGGAAATCTTCCAGAAAACACCGAGCCAACATTTAAGGAAGGATCCAGATTTGGTCATACATGGAGTATTTCACTGAAATAAATGGAAAGTAAGTTCCATCTACTATTATCTTAACTGACTGTGGGTCCCACCCATGCAAGCTAGCTTCCTGGAAAATCAATGCAACAAGTTGGGCACACAACCAGCAGAGTGTCTTGTTTTGGCAGAAAGCACTGTACTGTCTGCCCTTGGTGGGTGCAAAGGCCCTCCAAGTCTCTCCATGTTAGCTGCCTGTTATGGGGTGAGGTGTAGGAAGGAACATAAGACAAGGGGTCTGGGCACAATATCATGATGAAATACATTTTGACCTCAGCCACTATTTCCTTTTTACTTTTTGGCATGGTTTTGTGCTCTAGCAGGAACTGTAATGTAATTTGGTGCTCCAGCCAATGGGGAGCATCTAGCGTGGCAGTGAAGTGGTGGCAGATCATGAGGCCTGACCTCAAACATTAAATAGCACTTCACTGATATTCCACTTTTGCAGCAGAGCAAATGCTGAGCAACCTGCCATCTGCAACAAATACTCTCACATCAAAACATGCACCTTCCTGGTGTGTCCCTTCCAGCCAGTTAAGCCCCAATACTTATGGATTTATGCATTGCTTTGCAGGGTGAATTGAAACCATTTGAAAAAGTAAAATTAGCAACCTGTCTTGCTTGCTGAGAACTAAATCAGACTTACCCCCTAGGAAGAGAGCTTAGGATTTTAGCCTCAGGCAACAACCAGTTAAAGTGTTTGTTGGACTTGTTGTAAACTGAGAAATCACCACAGTCCTAGGAAGTAAATCCCAGTGTGTTCATGATATATCAAGATTACCGCCTGATATAAAAAGTATCCCATAACAGTTAAAAATGTGAATGGTTTTCATTAATATAATCTTAGGTAGCAAGTCTGAAAAAAATTATCTTGGAAAATGACATTAGTACAATGCAGGCATGCACTGTTTGCTCATGAGCCTTTGGCATCACAGCAATTCATCTAATGCTTTTCATCTTTCAGTTAAGACTGTTGGTTTAACAGGGCTTCTGCTATGTGTTCTGACACACACTGGTAAGTAGCCATTAGTAATGAGTATTTGGTTTAATCTGGAATTGCAGAACACAAAATGTATCCATGGTGTGAGCATTTTGAGGCTGTCCAATGAAGCTGTATGAAGTACTCTGTTTGTTGACCAATATCAATACAACACCTGGTCTCAGTATACCAACAGGGACACAGCCTCCCATCTGGACCTTCTTTTGGTTGATGGTACAGGAAGTGCTCCTCCACCTTTGTTTTAAGCTGCTGTAGGTGACGAGAAGCAGGAGTTCCTTAGAAGGGCACACGTTTGGCTGATTGCATGCACTCCAGGGTTGAGTGTGAGTGGTTATTGAAAACTGAGTTGTTGAAATGTTATCAGGTTTTCTGAGTCCAGCTAAGATAACCACAATTCACAACCTAACAAGAGATCATGGGTTCTTTTCATGGGATAACTGTGGATAAAAACATGGTTTGTTGATGGAGTTAACACGTGCTTCAAGAACAACCCACATTCAAGCCATAATTACCCCTTGAATGTAGTTTATTTTGTTTTCTGAACTTAGTCATTCTCTTGCTCTTTAAAACTGTGCCTGTTTGTGTCTTCTAGTTGAAGCACTTTTATTTTACTTTTTTAAAAATCTATTGTTTGTGATTTATAATGTTGTTTGTCACTTTTATAATTTTCTATGACCTGCCCTGAGTATGATGCCCTGGTAGAAAGGTGATCTAGTTTTACCACTTTATTTGCTGCTTATGTAAATGGATCTGCAGATGCTACATTGGATCTAGCTATGATTATGTTCAATTTCCCAGTGTACAATAACCGCCCTTCCTGGAGGGAAATAACATAGTCTACTTCTGCCTCTCACTGATAATGGGATTTTTTGGCTGAATTATCCTAGCTTCTTAAAACCACAGTTTGGAAACTGAGAATGGGTATCAGAACTTCACACCTTTCTATTCCTTCATGTGCCACCTTTAGCACTACAATCCAGATTAAATGAAACCGCAGTTCCCAATTTACATCTATAATGGGGAACCATGGTTTAACTTAAGTTTACTAACTAGGATCTTAAATCAGGATCAAACAATGTTTTCAGATTTTGGGTAATAGACTGACATGAACTTCCTGTTTCAGACATAATGGAGAATTATAGTTTAAGGAGACCAGCATGTCAATGCGAAGACGTGTGTGAAACATGGGAAAGTGAGAGGAAGGTGGGGGAGCACCATGGCTTGATGCCTCTTCTGGGCTCAGTTAAACTGTGGCTTACTAAGTCAGGAATGTTATGTCTGAACCTAGCTAATAGCTACTTCACTTGCCATAGCAGATATACTCCTTGGGAGATGGTCACTACACAATAATAGGAACATGTGTCTGAGTAAATAATACCTTATGCATTAATGAAGCTGAGACTACTTTGTCTTATGGTTAGTCTTGCATGGAACCTTTCATTTTGGTGTGCTAGACTGGGGCTGCCGAATCACTGAAAAGTGTTTTTTTACATTGACCGTGGTTTTACATACTGCACTGCTGCATCACAATAAGGAAGCAAATTAGGTATCCTGCCATAAGGCATAATCCTAAGAGCTGCACGACATTCTGTAGCACAGAAGTAGCGCATCTTTTGCCTGCTGATGACTGCATTCTCTTGGGCCAATATGTTCAGAGCTGTGACCCAGCAGCAAGAAGGCTGTCACAGTTTGGGGCATGGGTGGCTGGGTATCAGATCAGGGCACCAGGACCCAGACACCAGTACACTATGAGGTCTATTCCAAATCGCAGGAAAGCAGTCCAGAGGTCGAGGCCCATAACAGAAGTACAAGGTCAATCAGTCCAAACAGTGAAGAGTAGCCAAAGCCAGTAGAAGTGGGTACCTGGGATGGGAGCGGAAGGTGGAGCAGGAGAAGACTGGGAAGACTGGCAAGGTCCAGAAGCAGAGGCAGGAGCAAGGTGATGGGCAGAGTTTTCAGAAACATGTTCTAGAAGGTGCAGGGAGCTCCAACAGCATCAAAGATCTTCATTACTGAGACAGCCTCTGGTGAGAAGAGCCAGTTCTTCTGTAGCTCTTCCCTCAGGGCTCCCAGGCAGTGCTCATAACAGCTCAGGTGGCCGCAATCAACTGTGGGCCCAGTCCTGCAGCCACCAGGGCTGCTACTCTGGTCTCTGGCCAGAAGATGGAGCCCTGATGTTGCCTCCGAACCTCACAAAGGTTGTGTGCAGAGCCAAGAAACCAAACTCTCTCATTAAGCTGGTCTCCTAGCAGGGCCACCCAAGGCAGAATGGTCAAACTGTATGAGACACCAGACACCAGATCACATCAGCAGAGAAGAATGGATGCCACTAATTGTGATAGGGCAGAGAAACTCTTGAAGGGCAGCTACTGGGCAGCAGCAATGGTCGAAGGGAGTACTGGTGGAGGATCTTTCACAAATCCCAACCAAATCATATCAATCAAAATTCCCTACCAGCATAGTCATCATTTAACCCTTGCTCCAGCAAGAGATGCTGAGGAAGAAGAAATCAAAACCTCTTAAGCAGACATCCAAGAAAAAATCGATAACACACCTGAAATGAAGCAGAATCCAAAGTTCTGGGTGAATTTGACCTAGGAATCAGAAACAAACCAGGAGACTCACTGTGAATTCTGTGAAGTCATCAATCTGTTTATTGCAAAATTGTTCTTCAGAGAATTAATCAGAAACTGTATATATGAGCATCACCAGATAGCTGGCATAGATTGGAAGTAATGAATGGAGAATCCATATTCTCACTGCCAAAACAAGAGCAGGAGCAGGTTGTGGTAATGAATCTGCTAATATTAAAAATCTGGGTAAAGCTGAAGAACAGAAGCACAGAGCCAAAATACAGCTTATTATTCCTGAGAAATTTAAAGTACACATAAAGAACAGATCTGCATTATTGAATTCTATTGAAACAAGAAGAACTGTGGACTGAATCCAGAGATATTATGAGGCAAGAATGCAGAGACAATATCTGTAGCAAAAAGAAAGAAAAATCCTAGATGGATTACAGAAGAAACATTTGTAATTGCTAAGGTCAGAATGGGAAGCAATAGCAAAAGCTGACAGAAGTTAGATCAGAATCCTGAATGCAACTTTTCAGTGATTATCACAGTGAGACAAAAAGGTCTATTACAACAGCCAGTGTAAACCTACAGAAGAGAACAACAGAGGAAGAACATGAGACCTTTTTCAGAAAATCAAAGATATCAAAGATAAATTCAAATGTAAATTAGGAATGTTGAAAGACAAAAAGGGGAACTTACTCAAAGATATCAAAGGGAAATTCAAATGTAAAATAGGAGTGCTGAAAGGCATACAGGCCAGGAGAAAATAAAGATAACATAAAAACAATATAAAGAAGAGCTATACACAAAAGGTATTGCCATTAAGACTACTTTGAAGAACAACCCTCTAAAGAAGAGTCTGCAATATTACAAAGTGATGTGAAAGCTGCTCTGAAGGTACTTGGAAGGAATAAAGCACCTGAAGTAGACAGAGTACCAATAGAACTATTTCAAGCTGAATTGGTCCACATCTTAACAAGAATATGCTAGCAGATATGGAAAACAAAACAATGGCCCACAGACAGGAAATGTCTGAAATACATTCCAATCCCCAAGAAAGGAGATGCTAAGGAAAGTAGCGACTATAGGACCATTGAACTAATTTCTCATGCCAACAAAGTGATGATGAAGGTGTCTGTGTCAGAAATGCCTGATGTTCAAGCTGGGTTCTGAAAAGAGGCTTGAGATCATATTGCAAATAGATGTTGGCTATTGAAGCACACCAAAGATTTTCAGAAGGAAGAGGTGAAAATTTAGAGGAAGATGCACCAATATTTTAAGATATACCGTCTTACTGTCAGAAAACTGCAATGAACTGAAATGACTTCTGATAAAAGGGAAAACAAAGTGCAAAAGTAGGACTGCAGCTGAACATTAAGAAAACAAGAATCATACAACTTTAATGTCAACAGTGAAGAAATAATGAACATTTTGCCCATCTTGGCTCAGTCATTAATTTAACCTGAAAGAAATCAGGGAAAGACTGAGTTGTGGAAGGGCAGCAGTGAAGGAACCAGGAAAGATCAAGTGTAAATATCTTTCACTGAAGACCAAGGACAAGATTATCTGTGCTATAATATTCCCAATCCAAATTTAAGGGTGTGAAAACTGGACAGTGAAAAAAGGTGGCAAGAAGAAAAGTAAAGCATTCAAAACATGTTGCTGGGAGAGAGATTTGCAATTACCCTTGCTTGAAAGAAAAAGGAACAACTGGGTTCAAGCCAGAGCTTTTCCTGGAAACCAGAATGAAGTAACTGGAGCTGTCATCATTCAGGCACATCATGAGCAGGACAGACTGACTGGAGAAGACAATCATGCTAGGGAAAGGTCAAAGGCAGAAGAAGGGAAGACCAGCTACAAGAAGGCTTGTTTCCATAAAGGAAGCCACAATCTTGAGTTTACAAGAGCTGAGCAGGGCTGTCAAGGACAGGACTTTTGGGGGGGCATTCACTCATAGGGTCACCATAAGTCAGAAACAACTTGATGACACATAACAACAAAAGGGCTGATCAGGAGATGGGGCTCTCCCTCTGGCATGATATATCATGAAAAATGATATTCATTCCATGCTAGTCTTGTGCATTTGAATGTGTTTTGCAGTAACAGGGCCTGATATCCACTCCAACTCTCAGAAGATCTTCATGAATCCAATAAAAAAGCAAAAATTGTTACAGGTAGCACCAAGACAAAACTGAACTGGTTTTTAGATAATTGGCATATCATGTCACTTACCAAATATTACAACCACACTGTACTTGATAGCTTTGATTTTTGCTTTTGATATTAGTCCTCGATGGGCGTAACTGGCACAGAATTTGCCATCTGCAGAGAGGAAAAGCAAAACAGAGGCATAACTGGGGATAGGCAAATCCGTTAGTTTTGCTTTCTACCACATTTTAAGTTTGCAAATCTCAAGTTCATTCCATCCTTATATGAAGAAATTTGCAAAATTGGATTAATTATTATTGGGAACAAAGTGAAACAATTTTCTCAGTCATCTGTACCAGCCATCTGCACCAAAGGAGTCCGTCAGAGAAAGACAAATCCAAATTCAACTGGTGCGTTAAATACAGCTTGCTCATCATGCTGAATTGCAACATGCCCTCTCCACAGCTGACCTGTCCTTTAATAAGTCTTTTCAGTTTTACCCCTTTTTTGGAGCACTGCATGCATGTGCTAATTTTGCTGTGACCTAAGTAAAAAAACCTTTTAAGTAAAAAAAATGACAGTCCTTTTGATGTGTTTCCTAGACATGTCCAGTCAATTTTATGCATTGTACAACCTGTTTTCTTGCAAACCAGTGCCCTTGCTTTGCCTTTCAAGGAGAATTTGAAATGCATATTTTTGAACATGTTTCAGACTATCAGAGCTGATTGAAGCCCTGAAATCTCTAGAGTCCCAAATCTCTGAGAGGCCTTCCATCTTGTCACCCAGCTAAATCTGGGCAATTGCTGAAATTACCATTCTCCCAGATTAGCCCTCATGGGCTACAGCCCACATGATCTTCGCCTCCTGCTGTCTGCCCTCCCTCGAATTTTCTGCCTGAGGTTTGCTTGTTTTTGTTTTTCCTGAAATCAAAACCCTAATCTTCCCTATCCATATATCCCCTTTTACAAATAGGGATGTGATTAGGAGACAGGGTCTGTTACACACACACTTCAGAGCATACGTAAATCAGTTTATGCAAATATGTGCATTTTTTCATCCAATAGTCCAGAGCCTTAGGTCTTCTGTACTTAATACTTGCTCTGCAACTTATGCATATGTACATGCATGTGCGCTCTCATGCGCAAGGACACACCCACACCCACACACCCCAATAATAAAGTGTACAGTAGATAGATACCAGCTTTCAGGAACGTGTTGTTTTATGCCTGAGCTCAGCCAAGATTGCCTTTCAGGGATTCCCTGTAACTCAGTGCCTTTGATCACAAAGAGGTTCAAGATTTCCCCTTCCCTACACACTCTGTAGCTCTTGGTTTGGTAGCTTTTGTTCTGCCAGGCCTTTTGTTGTACCAGGCTGGAGGCTTAGAACAGAGCAGGGAAAAGTGAGCTGATTCGTGATCTCCAGGGAAGAAAGCTTTGTAGGCAGTGGAGCAGGAGTCAGAGGTCTCTTGGAGTGGGAACACAGTGGGCCCTCATCTTAAGCTCAGCATAAATAAACTGTTCAGGAAACACCACAAGCCTCTGGTGACCACCTTCTCAGGAACAAGCCTGCATAAGTGCTGCAGCCCCCGAAGCTGCTCACCTCTCTCAAGGAGGAGCAGGAGCGAAGTGGTATAATAGAGTGTAAGCAGTGGGAGAGCAAAACAGGACAGACAGTGTTTCTCAGGGTGAGGTAAGGATACTACGAGCATGTATTTTCATCTCAGTAATGCTGGAAAAAATGTCATAGCAATATGCATGGTGAATTTTCATTTTAATATGAGCGATGCACCTGACTCTTAAATATGCAATTGCAAAGGTATTATCAGCTGAGAAGCAGGGGTCCTGATTTTTTTCTTTTCTGGAATAAATTGATCCCAGACAACAGTGATAGACTGGTGCACTTTAGCAGAGAATGTATCTCTCTAACTAATTATGCCAGGGAGATTAGGATAACAGTGTGCTTTGATCACTTATTTTCTCTTACTACTTCCAGGTAATGAATTAGCTCCAAGCTAGCAAGTACCCATGTAATAGCATCCCACTGTTGTGAAGATGTGATGAACAGTAGACATTTTGATTATCTTTGTGACCATTGCATGATGCACATTTAAAGGCCATGCTTGGAAGCGTTCCCCAAAATTACTCACCAGCACAGTTAGAGATGATCACAGCATGGGCTTTACTCTTTGTCCAGATTGTACGAATCACAATGAAATAAATAACACTGCAAAAGGAGAAAAGAATAGCAACAGATTAATGAGGTTTTGGCTTATGTAGCATCTTCATCCTTCTCTGCTGTAATCTGAGCCAGGTGCAGCCACTGCACTGGAGTAGGGACAGTGGATCTACAGCTGCTCCCTTCCCTCTCCAGCACAAATCCTCCCCTCCTGCCTCCTTATGCCTTTGGGAAAGGAGCCAGCACAGGGCTCCAATGGGCCCTGCTCATAGCTGATGGGTGGCATTTGAATTGGCCTGCAGGCTTGCTCAGCTTTATGTGCTTTTTTCTGGTTTCTGCAGGTCAGCTGGCAAGGAAGGCTAATGCTGTATAAAGTGTGGAGGGGGTCTTAAAAGTGAGCCCTTTGGCATTACTTATTTTATATCCCAGGCTCATCATCCTTTTGAAAAACGGTGACAAAGACTGATGGGATTATTACTAGTCTGTGTGAATTCATGTACTTATTTGCTCGGACAGCTATGACCTGTGGTGGCAATCACTTTATTTATTCCTTGCAATTAAAATGCCAGGGCAACTGTGCATAAAAAGACATAACTGAAGCATCTTTTCTTCTCTGGAGAATAGTAACACTGTAGGAAAAGAGAGCTGCAGAAGCAGAAGGCGAGGTTATCATGCTGTATAGTGAAGAATATACTTTTGTTCCTAAAGATGTCTTTGAATAATGCAACAGATGTCAATGCTATTAGGCACTCAGAGCATTTGGTATGAGAGGTAGAAGAAAGAAAAATACGGAACTCCAAGGCATTGGACACTGAAAAGTTTATGTTAATGAATTAATAAATAGCTTCGTAAAATATCACCTATCTGCAAATTCCTTAATGTGTATACAAAACACCCAGATGAATTAATCAATGTGTTGTCCACAGGAATAACTGTGTAAACACTGTTATCAAAATACTCATCCAATCTAGAGTCTGCTCTGGGAACATCACAAGTTATTTCTGAACTGTGTTTGCATGCATTCATTTGTAAGGCCATTTTATCCTGTTTCTGTAATACTCTGTGGCGTAAAAGAAAACCCTTTACAATTTTAAAAATCTAGGTACATTTTCATATATGTATGTTTGACTTCAGAAAATTGGTGTTTCCATGAATTAGGCAAAAGTAGGTGAAACTCTGAGTAAACCTCACACTGCCTAGATCTTCTAGCAAGAGCAACTTCCTATCTTTTGCAAGCCTTCTCTGCAGTAGCTAGACTTTCTAGGCCTTCTCAGGGAGGCAACTAGAAGCTGAACTTTCTGGCCAACCACCCTGATGATGCCCTGGACATTCCATGGAAATGTCATTTGCAAATAGGACACTGACCACCTTGAATGAGATGACTTGCTGGCCATCAGCTGCAGATTTTTTCTGTATCAGTGCCTGATATCTACTCTGCTTTTTGCACTAGTCTGCTTGTGAAACCCAAGAAGGATCTGGAGCATCCCCAGTGCCACCTGGGAGTGTATGGTCCTTGCATGAATAACAGCAGTGTTGCACATCACTTCAAGCAGGCGTGTCTCGCATGGGATGGTTTCCGAGCTTAGAACTGTATCCCCAAATTTAGGGAAGTGCAAAATCTAAAGGATGCCTGTGTTATGATCCACACAGTAGCCCCCAAACTACAGATCAGGTCAGTGTGCTACAAAATGAGGACTGAACAAAATCCTTGAGTGCTCATCAGGCAGCTGCCCCGTTCCTTTCAGTGAAGGATGCCAGTCTGCAGATCAGCTTCCTTCATCAAAAGGAACAGGGCCTCTCACACTGAGATATGGCCTGTGCCCACATCTGGAATGGGTGTGTGTGTGGATGATCAGCATTTGATTCTTACCTGATAATGATGAGAGGAATAAAATATACAAGGAAGGCAACCGTGGTCATGTAGGGGATCCAGTAAGAGTCATCTGGCCAGGCAGCCCAGCATTGCACTTCCCCATTGGACAGTTTCCGCTTTCCAAATATGATGAGAGTTGGGATGGAAAACAAGAAGGAGAGGCCCCAGGCAACCACAATCAGAATTTTTGCCTGCCTTTCTGTGCAAGACAGAAGAACAAGCTGTCATCAGCTTACTCCAAGGATGGGGTTAGGAGAAACGACAGAGAAGGGTTATCACAGTGCTGAGAGACCCTTAGTGAATTGCATTCTATGGATTAGGACTGTCAAACTATGCTCAATTTTAGGATTAAAAGTAATCAGGGGTTATTTATCCAATGCCTTATTGTCAAGGAGAAAGGAGTGCTGTGTCAAACACTGAAGGCTCATTGTGCTTTCAGTGGGGTAGTTTGTGTTGCTTTTGTGTTCCTTTTTAGATTTCTTGTGAGGAAATGTCTGACACACCAGCTGGGATGCAGTTCACCCCATCCCATCCCGACTGAGAGCAAAAGAAAGTTTTCTTGCTATTAGAGAGCCTGAAAAACACAACCTGGGTGCCTTTGTTTGGACTGTGGTCAGTGAAAAATGGTGATTTGGTGCATAAGGGAGAAGGAGGGGGAAAGTTAGACAACTCAGCATTGCTGAGTTGCTGATCTTTTGGGGAAAAAAGATTTTGAGTGAAACCACAGGTTTTCCTGGAGGTGAGAAGTGGCCAACATAGGTTTGGTGGCCAGGATGGTGTAGGAAGGACTCATACCTTCCACTCACAGAACTCAAACTGGTGCTGAGTACAGGACTCAAACCTGTATAATTACTCCTGTTCTCTTTTCTATCCAAAGCACAGCCATAAGACTAAGGTGTTGTTGTGGGAAATCTCCTCCTAGTGCCTAAACAACCTGACAGCCACCCATCGATCCCAGACCCCACCATATTATCTCACAGCATGAGGTGCATCTTGAATCGGGGAACCAGGCTCAGGGTTTGGGGCTGCTTTTTCCTCCTTTCCGCAATTCAGTTTTTCAGCATGGGGCTGGCATCCTATTGACTTTTAATGTCGCAAAGAGCCCCCTGGAGATAGCTCAGCTGACTCAAAAGTCACAGTATGGTGTAATACACAACATGCATAGTACATGTAGATATACAGAACAAACAAGCAGATGCTGAGACATCTTATCAACCTACTCAAAGGGTAGGTGATGTTGCTGGATTTAGGTTCTTTTTTTTCTGGGCAAGAGCTGGTCCCATGGACAATACCTGGTTGTCAGCACATGGTCCTGGCTGCTGGGCAAGGCTTCCATAAATTAAGGATGCGTGCTGCGTCGCTTCAGAGCCAAATCCATGGCTAGAGAGTCAGGTAAGTCCCATCTGTTATGCCAAATTGAGGACCAAAAAAAGAGCCCCTTTTGTTCATTGTCTGACTGTGAGAGAAGCAGACAATACCAGCAAGTGACTTTATATTTAAAAAGACTCTTTATTGTAGGTACACACTAACAATAAAGTATGAGCCCATCTCCAGTTGGGACCAGCTGCCACAGTCATTGGGCAGAGCAAATCTATGCATTTAGCTTTTTGCAATGATTAGTAACAGAAAATGTGAGAGTGGAAAACATTCAGTTACTCTCATACATGGTTATCTTAACCTACTCTTCTGGTGTCAAAACATCTGTGTCCAGGCTTATCTTTATCCATTCTTACCTTCTCAACAGAGGTTTATTTTATATTTTTGACCCTCTTGTGCTTCTCTGATAGAACACTAAGTAACTGAACCTTGAGGTTTGGTCATCAAAAATTTATTCTTCAGGAATAACCAGGCATCTCTTACCTCTTTGAAAGAACTTCATGGGATGCACTATGGCGTGATATCGGTCTATACTTAATGATACCAGAACGTAGGTTGAAGCATACAAAAGCACAACCTAGGGCAGAAGCAAAGAAGTAGGCTTTTGTCACAGGCAGAGAATGTCTAAACGTTATTTTGGGGTATAAGATCTTGTCTGAAATGAAGAATGCAATCCTATACCATCTTCCTTGGGAGTCATCCCACGTGACCTCAATGGGGCTTACTCCTGAGGAGACATGTATCTGATTCCATTGTCAGTGTTCCCAGGAATGTATACCAAAAGCCACTGTATAATACAAGTTGTAGTATATTAATAAGATGGATCACTATGTCTGTTCTTGAACCAAATATGAGTATTAGGAAGTTCTCTTTGAGACCAGCAGACCAACCTAATACGTATCCCTTTGGTGACAGCCTTACCCAGCCTGGTACTCTCCAGATATCTTGGGCCAAAAGTCCCATATCACCTGACCATTGGCCATCCTGACTGGGGCTGATGGGAGTTGAAGTCCAAAACTTCTGGAAGGCGCAAGTTGGAGAAGGCTGCATTAGCATGTCATTGCTTAGGATGGGGCACATGAGCAGCTTTTGGCACAGAATAAGCATTGTCCCACTGATGCAGGAACTGTATGCTTGCCGGACACATGGATGCAAACTGGAATGCAAGAAATGAGGGTGGGTAAAAAGTAGGTTTTCTGCTCTAAGGAGGAGACCGTGGCTGAAATCCCAGCTCATCTGGGAAGCTTGCTGGGTACTACTGGGCCAGCCTCTATTTCTCTGTCTCACCTTTCTCACAGAATTGCTGTGAAGTTAAAATGGGATCACTCCCATGTTCACTGCCCTTAGCTCCTTGGAGAAAAAGGTGGTATACAAATATAAACCCTCAATGAAATCCAAGTCCACTGATTTAAGGGGTCTTTCTCACCCAAGATCTACCTTTAGGAAAAACAAATTATAAACTGGCTTATGTTTAGTATATATCTGGGAGATGCAATTAGATACTCTCCCCTTATTGCATGTTTTTGCACAAATGCAACTTATGTAAGGAGGAGAAGAGAAAATCAGCCAGTACAATTTATCCCTGCTGCTTAGTGTGTTTCCATTCTGTATATTACTATTATTAAAGAACCGGTCCAATGCATGCTTAGACCAAAAAAGTTCCTGTAACTCTCAGCATTCCCTATTCAGCATAATGTGAATATGTGGTGTTCCTGAGGGAGACACAAAGAAAGACATTGATGTAGTTCTTGTACCTGCAAATAGCGGACAATTCGGCAGACAAGATCAGGGGCCATGAAATCTCCAGTGAAGCGCCAAATTATATCCGTCATAATATTTATAAGGCCGGTAAAGCAATCTGTTAAACATTTAAAAAGACAGAGGTAAGAACACACATTTGTGGCTGCTATTATTCTAGGAGAAGCACCGGTCCCATCTTGCACAGCTTCAGCCCACCCTACATGGGTGGTGTGCTGGCTGGAGTGGCTGCTTGCCATGGTGCTCTGATATCAGGAGTGCTCAAAGCACAGGGACATGAGAGGGCCGCAGCCAAAGGAGCTGCTCTTTAAGAAGACCATCAAACTTCCGCATTGCCAGAAAAAGCTCTTGCCTCCGCTAAAAAGGGGGTGCAGATTTGCATAACATCGGGATAGGCAAGCTTATACATACAGCTCCAGATTTAGACATCATTGTTGCAACTTAAATAGTAACACAATGAATCCCACTTCAGCAGGGAAGATGGGGACCAGTGTGCCTCTCCATTGGCCATCCAGGTGCATGCCACCCATGGGCCACGCCAGAGTGGCATCCTCCCCTTTCTTGTGCTTCTTCAGTCGAACCAGTCTAGGACTGGACAGCCCATAAAATAGAAGGCACTTTCACATAAAGGGCTGTCCTCTGTAAAGCAGGACCCCTGGCCCTCTTCACCAAAGAAATCCATGGTGGCATCTCAGAAGCGCCCTGAACATTGCAGCAAAAGGGGTGCCATGCATGGCTTCTCCTCCCCACCTCCCCTCCAGCCATGTTGTAGGAAAGGCCCTGCACGGCGAACTCTGCCTGCGTAGTCCTGCCCTGGCTCTGGAACCCCGTGCTGACAGACCCCAGGAACTAGGAAGGGCTTCCCACAAAGGCTTCCCTTTCAGATGACCATGCTAACATATGGATGGAGGAGGTCCAGAAATATGCCCCTTTGCACTAGCATGGCCCCTCCCTTTGAATAATGTGTGAAGTGGGCTTCCAGGTGGGACTAATCAGGGGATCATTTACTTTATCCATCAGCATTTGTTGACGGGGTATTACCCCCAACCCCTTTGTTAGGATTTCCAGCAGCTAGGTAATTTTAAATGCAGGACTTGATGGTTTTCTAGGAGCACCCTTTAGACAGTGATGCACATTACTTGAGTTGTAAAGCCCTAAAAGTCTTCTTCCTCCTCTCTCCAAATGCCATTCCAGGCTTCAACACACTCCTGTGGTACACGTGAAGTGTAACAAAACGGTCCATCATAAAACCTTTAAAACCTTTCAAAACTCTGCTTTCAGCACATGCAGTTTGTACTTTAAACTCACCATCATATATAGAGGGATAAAACTGAGGTTGCTTTTGTGCCTGCCACTCTCTGGGTTCTCATTTGACGGGAATGTAGGCCCCTGGACTTTGCCCTCAAGGCACATGCCCCACTGGTTGGCAGTTCTCCTCAGGCTCAGCCCCGGGGACTGGCTGGGAGCTCCAGGGTGCAGCTTGGCAGCACTTGGTGACCTTAAAAATAGAGAGGTCTGATGCCTTCCTTACTGACTGAGAGCCAGTTTGGCATAGTGGTTACAGCATTGGACTGGGACCAGGAGAACCAGGTTCTTGTTCCAACAAAAACATGAAGCTCACTGGGTGACTCCTGACCTACACCTATTTGACAGGATTTCTGTGAGACTAAAATGGAGTGGAGAACCTTTTAAGCTGCCTTGAGTTCCTGTGAAGAAAAGAAAGGTGGGGTATAAATGATGATGATAACTGTGGATAGTCTAGTTCTCTTCAATCATATTTTTCTTTACCTTTAAACTAGGCAGCCTTAGTGCTATCCTAGTCACTGCTGATCCAGGGTTTTGACATTTCCCACAGGACTTTTTCCCCATTGATCTTTCTCTAGTTGGAAGGAGCATGTGATCCAGGGCTGAAGGAAAAGCAAGCCACCAGAGAACAAGATGAAAGAAAATTTCAGCTGAAAGAGAATGTTTTGTCCATGTTTCAACACTCTGGACAAGGAGTGCGTTTACACTGGATTCCTGAGGCCTTAACCACATTTTATGTACAAATGTGTGCGTGCTGATAGCCTAGTTGTTCTGAGATAAAAACCACTTTTGGAGAGATAAATTTAGAGTGGAAGGGGTGCTCAACCCTTTTCCTGCCTGCTACGCCTGTATTTCCGACCCATTGCTTCTCTGTCCAGAGCTAGATTCTGCATGGATGTTTGTGAGGGGAGCACAGATTGGAACCTTGCATGGGGAAAAATAACTGATGTGATGACCCTTATCACAGTTCCACGTAATTCTGTAAACCAGGTGCCTCACCTTCCACAGCCTCGGTCTGTTCTGAAGCTTCTGTTGGATAGTGAGATGCTAGAAATTAACATTTCTCAAGAACGGCCTTCCCCAACCTGGTGGCCTTCAGAGGCATTTGGACCACAACTCCCAGAATCCCCATCCAGCAGGGCTATTGACTGGGAATTCTGGGTGTTGCAGTCCAAACGTGTCTGGAAGGCACAACATTGGGGAAGGCTATCCTAGAGGTTTCTGGAAGAGCTGAACATATTAGCTCCTAACAAGAGAGGAAATATCCACTCTGAAATTGTAAGCCAATCAGCAAATTCTCTCTTCTGTGGACAAATATCAAACACTGTAAGACCAGAATGTTACATCGAGACAAGGAGATGAGACAGGGTGTAGTTATTTAACAATACAGCAACAGCAACCTCCCTAAATATTCCTGTCTGTTGCTTTGAAGGAGAGGGGAAATAGTTCCAAGACTGGCATAGTTTTGCTTTTTCTTGGGGCTGTAGCAGGAGAGCAGGACAGTATTGGATCCAGTAGATCAAAGGCCTTCTTTGGACCACCTCAACATGCCCCCTTTTCACCCCTACATATGTCAGAATGGTGCTGGTGGAGTTTTCTGCTACCCAGATTAGGATCCTTCTGACAGCTGATATCCCTCTCCACTCAAATAGTCTTGGATTTAGCTTTACTTTGCCAAAACAGAAGTCTACTCTAAGGGTAGAGCAACCCTTCAATGAATAAAATGCTCTTTCCATGGGATCAGGAATGAACAATATAGTGGCCAAGTTTGCCAGTGAGATCAAATTATTTAGGGTGGTAATGTGGTCACCCAAAAAGGATTTTTAGAAGCTTCAAAAAGAACTCTCCAAACTGGAAGAATGGGCATCAACTTGGCAAATGTGGTTCAGTATAAGCAAAGTTATATGGATTTGGGGCAAACAAACCCCAAAGTTGATGTGGTCTGAACTGGCAGTGACTGACCAAGAAAGAGATCTTGGAGTTTGGTGGGCAGCTTAGTGAAAATGTTAACCCCGTGCATATTAGCTGCGAAAAGGCAAAAACCATGTTGGGCATAATCAGGAAAGGAACTGAAAAGAAATAAAAGTGAAAATAGAAGTGTCAAGGCCATACAGTCCTTACACAAATCTATGGTGTGACTGCATTTAGAAAACTGTATACAGTTCTAGTCACCACACCTAAAAGAGGACCTTGTAGAGCTGGAAAAAGGACAGAGAAGGGCAACTAAATTGATCACAGTTACAATATCTGAGATTGTTTAGCTTAGAAAAAAGGCAAGTAAAGGAAGGCATGATAGGTGCATACAAAATTACGTGCAGTATGGAGAAAATCAATACAGAGATCATTTCATTCTCTCATAGTTCTAGCATCTGAAGCTGACTGGTGGAGGATGCAAGACAGATAAAAGGAAGGACTTCTTCATGCAGCATATAGTAAAATGATGGAATTGACTCCTACGTGCTGTAGTGATAGCCACTACTTGGGAGGGCTTTAAAAGGGGACCAGACAAATTCACTGAAGGTAAGCACTTCAGCAGTTACTAGTCCTCAGCGTTCTATGCTACTTCTGGTATCAGCAGCATTATGCCTATGTACACCAGTTGCCAGGAAACATGGGTAGGAAGCTGCTGTTGCACTCCTGGCTGCTTGTGGGTTTCCCCTGAGCAACTTTTTGGCCACTGTAGGAAGAAAAGGCTGGGCAAGGCAGAGCCCGCATCTGATCCTGCAAGGCTCTTCTTACGTTTCTAAGGGCACTTTTGGAGCCAATTCATAATGTCCAGGCACACACTGAAAACAAAGAACAGCTTGTTCTAATAGACTTGTATTTCTTGTCACTAGTTCAAGGGATCAAAAACTGAGCTAAGACTCTGATCAACACCTGCAAGCTTGAAACATGAAAAATGACACCAGGATGGGGATTTGATTTTTCAGCAAAGGTGAAAATAGATTGTTTTGGAGAACCCATAGCAGGAAGGGCAAACAAGTGGTCTATCTTACATATCAATGTAAAACCATGAAGTTCTCGCTTGCCAACCCTGAATATGAGCAAGAAAACAGTTTTACAGCAACATAAGTAAATTTGTTGGTAAACATATGAGTTGGTGATGCATTCTGTATCTAGAAGATCCAAAACTATTATTTCTATTGTGTGGGTAGGGATGGGTGAGGGGTGATTTATCTTCACACAAAAATTTGTTCAGTTTATATCAACTAACTTGGCCAATTAATTATGTTGCAGGTTTAAAAAAATGGCTTTCAAGCAAAGTTAAGCAGAAATAGTTTTATTTTGTAAAACATTGCTAGTTCTGCTCCGTTTTCATATTTTGTTTTAAAAAGAACAACAAACCCAGTCTGATTTATTCCCAGTGTAGAAAAATGCACAAATTGCTGTAAATATTCAGTCATGTCATTTTTGGGTCAGTAAGTAAAGATGCTTTTGCCAGTCAAAAAGATACAGGCATGTGATCCAGTTTACAAGAGGTACTTGGGGTGAAGAGAGGGGCATATGGTTTAATTATTTTTGCCTGTAGCAGGATTAAGCAGACTGGCAACAACGAGCTAGGAATGTCGCCTGCACAAAAACCCAAAGCACAACTGGCAATTAACCAAGAGGACTGACGTGTGCCCTAGCACAACTTTCACTCATGTAGCAGACGCCGCTGCAATTGTGTCGGTTATCATGACTGTGAAGTGAACTCCAGCTGCTCATGAATAGTCGAATGCAGCAAAGGGTGACTCCAGATGATGGCCTCCTGCCTACATCGAAAGATACAGCCCACCAATTCAGCAGCAGCAG